AGGAGGGCCACGAAGATGATTCGAGGGCTGGCGCACCTCTGCTATGAAGACAGGCTGAGAGAGTTGGGGCTGTTCAGCCTGGAGAAGAGAAGGCTCCAGGGTGATCTTATAGCAGCTTTCCAGTACCTAAAGGAGTCCTACAGGAAAGCTGGAGAGGGACTTTTTACAAGGGCGTGTAGTGATAGGACAAGGGGTAATGCATTTAAACCAAAAGAGGGGAGATTTCAATTAGATATAAGGAAGAAATTTTTTACATTGAGGGTGGCGAGGCACTGGAACAGGTTGCCCAGAGAAGTTGTGGAGGCCCCACCCCTGGAAGTGTTCAAGGCCAGGTTAGATGAGGCTTTGGACAACCTGGTGTAGTGGAGGATTTCTCTGCCCATGGCAGGGGGGTTGGAAGTAGATGATCTTTGAGGTCCCTTCCAATCCTAACCATTCTATGATTCTATGATACTATGATTCTATGATTGAGTGTGTCTTTTGGAAAGGCCAAGGACCGTTTCAGGCCTTGAGGTACTCCTTGCAGTTCACGTCTGTGTTCCTATCCCTGCTTCTTGCCAGCTCTTCATGTGCTTTCTCAAAGGTCCTCCATCTCCTGTGATTGTTGAGGGGAAGTACAGTGACTCATCGCAACTCTCAAACCCACACAGTGGCATTGAGAAGTGTATGGATATTGCCTCAGAAACAGGAGCAGTGCTTCTTGAAAGCACGCCAGTAACTAGGAAGGTTTTTTGGGGAAAGTCTGAGATCCTGGTGACAGGGGTTCTTCTGTTGAGTACCAGAGCCTGGATGCCCCTGGGGTAAAAGGTAGTGAAAGGCAGCGGCACTGACAGTGAAGGGAGGTTCCCTCTGCAAAGAGGAAGTCTTCTGTGTCTCAGGAGATTGCCCCATGTGTCTATTTCCTTCCTGTGGTTGCAATTCTTGCAGTGAGTGACAGATGCTTGGTCTCAGAGGCAGCGAGTGGGGCTGAGATTTTGGTCCTGCCTGGGGACTTCAAGCTAGCATGGCTCTGCACTTGCTGGCTCTGAGCTTTCTCCTGGCTCTTGTAACACTGCTGGCAGCGCAGGGCCAGAAAGATCCCGATCCCAAGGACCAAGGATTCCCGTTGGAAACAGGTAAGAAGCAGTTCCTCTTCTTCCCTGGAGACATTTTGCTGGTCCTCCTCCTGCAAGTTTGACGTGCACCTTCACTGCATGGAACCCTGGGCTGGAGCCCAGGCGGATCCCTGAGGGCTGTGTCAATTAGGGTGCCTGCTGCCTCTGGGAGACGGTGTGGGTGCACAGGGTGTGCTGTGGGAAGGACGGGATTGGGCTGGATGGTTGGGGATGGGTCATGCCCTGCACCGAGCCACTTTACCATTCGGTCCCTGAAGGTTGCAGGCATGAATCAGGCATGAATTCACGCATCATGAATTAGGGGAAAGGTTTTCAGGGAGCTGGGCTACCACTTTCTGTGCACATCCTGTCCCCCAGGTGTTCCCGAGGGACACTGTGCCTGCTGAGAGCAGAGCAAAAGGGAACTTTGTGCCGCTTTGACAGCTGGATGGGCTGTGTGTCAGTGGGACACAGCTGCTGGTTGCAGTGCTCAGATGGGCATCTCTTGTCTTCTGCAACCGGGGTTGTTTGAGAGCAAGGGCTGACCGCAAGTGGCTTGTTCACCAGCCTGTCCGTACTTCTTCGTGGCTGTGCAGAAGATGGTCTGAACCTTGTGAGATCCCTTCTCTGCCCCTTTGGGGGAAGAAACTTTGTATTTGAAGCACTTTGTGGCCTCCCAGAGCCCGTTGCTGAGGCTAAAACAGAGAAGTGTTCCTTCCTGGGTGCCAGCATCCCTGCCTGTAGGAATCATTGCCACAAAGCCTTCCCCCGCAGCACTCAGTGAACTGCTGAGACAGGCTGTGCCTGCTCAGCCCAGAGTATGGCGAATATGGTGAGGAGGGAATGAGGAGGAAGGAGCAGGGCTTGCGGCAGGGAAAAGGTGTAGGGGCTGTGGTAAAGCAGGGGATGTGCATGGAGACGCACTGCTCATCTCCATGTCTCACCGCATGGTGGCGTGGGGAAGGAGGAGAGTAGCTGAGGGACTGACTGAGCCAGCACAGGGACCCCAGAAGTGTAAGAGGGACCTTTCTGATCCCTGTAGGAGGGATAAGCCATAGCTGGACAGACATGCACTTCAGCAGGGCTGGTGGACTGTGGCCCATCAAGGGCAGCCTGAGCTGGGGTGGGTGACATGTTGAATGATGGAATCTCCTAGTGTATGAGGGATTGTCCTGAGAAACTCGCTGCTGTGGGCTGTGGAGGAGGGAATATAGCATCCGTGGACACAAGGGTGGATGGAGGAGGTTCTCATAGGTGTGATTGTTCACACTTTGGGTACACAAGCAGAACCCCCTCCCAACAAGCCCTGCCTGCAGGTCACATCCTGGCAGATGAACTTGTCACCTTCCCACTCCCTTAAGGGGCTGGATGGATTGCTGGGGATTTCTCTCCTGCTACTCATCCCTGCTGCACCTCATCACCTCCCACGTCAACTAACACCCACTGTCACCTCTGCCAGAAACGTGCCAAAGGCCACAGTGGGACTCAAGACTCCGGCTGACACCAGACCAGGAGAATTACAAGAAGAATGAAGAAGTGCTGCTGAGCTGCCCTGAGGGCTTCCAGCCGTCCTTCACTGAAATCAAATGTTCAAGCGAAGTCCAGTCCATCAGTCACGGGAAACCTGTACACAGAGAAGTTTGGCGTGGGAGGGACAGCAGAGGTGGCTGGGTCCCCATTCGGTCCAAGGTGGAATGCATGGGTAAGGGAGGCATCAGGAGCTCTCCTGGCTGCCCCACTCTGCCCTTCCTGAGCAGGGTAAGGTGGCATGTGTGTGCATGGGAGGTTCCAGGCTCTCTGCCTGCCTAGGGAAATGGTGGGTTCTGCTGAAGGCAGAGCCAAGGCAGCCCCTGAGCCTGCTCTGGTTCCATCCTGTGGCTGACCAGTGGGTCTTCTGGCAACAGCATGTGCACAAAGGAGAGAAGTATGGGAGAGCTACACGTGGTGGCATTAAAGGTCTGCATGTCATCCCAGTTGGGGCAGAGGGATCAAAAGGATCAGCTGCCTGTGTCCTCTCAGACCGTGCAGCTGTGAGTATCACAGCGTGCTCCCCATAGGCTGGTCCCCTCCAGGCTCTGTGTTATGGCGGGCACAGGCTTGGCACCATCTTCTCACAGCTTGGGGCACTGAGGTTCCCTCCAAGGGAAACAGGGAAATAGTGGGCTGATTTAGGAACCTAGTGAGAGGTCCCTGACATTTTGAAAACAGTAGTCCTCTGCTGCTTCCCATCTCTCTGAGTGCTCTGAGACCTGGGCCACAGCAAGGGCGTTCAGGGCTGGTTTTCTCCAGGCAGCTGTGAGCATGGGTAGTGTGAGGAGGTCTGTGGGAGGGGAAGGGGATGCTTCTCCTGTGACACTGCTCTGCAGACAGTTCCATGCATGGCTCAAGCTTTCAGGGTGTCCCACCTAGTCCCATTGGGTGCTTTGCTGACTTTATGTGGCAGGTTCCTAAGGCATGAAACCTGCTTCTTAGATGATGCCACAAGGCACAAGGGTCAAATGCTGGTCCATCAGTCACTGTGCAAGCTTCGTGCATAGTATGAGACCCTTGTACGTGCCCTGGTTCCTTGAGCTCCTGCTCCTCCTGGCCTTTCCTGGGAGGCCTGAGGGTAGAAGCTTGGGGCCCTTTTCCCCCTTGTCTCCTTCCTGGGGATGTGGTGTAGGAGGGCTACTCCATGTGGTGTCTTAGACCTCCACCTCTCACTATACTGCTGGGGAAAATGAATCTTTCTCCTGGGATCTGCGCAGAGCAGGTGAGGGCTAGGTCTTTCCAAAAGCTGCATCTGTTGGACTGTAGAAATGCTGAGACCCACAGACATGTCAGTTTTGACTTAGAGGGGGAAAATTGCCTTGAGCAGTGTCCACACATTCACTCACATTCATACCTGTCCAGACTCCTTGTGCTCGCCTACCAGATAGCTGGAGTTACCAGTTTCAGCCTCTCGCTTTCCATCCCACTCAGCTGGGTACAGAGCAGGGCTGTCTGACCACATCATCCTTGCAAGGCTGGGAGGCGAAGGGAAGGAAATGATCCTTGTGCAATGTTTCCTTCACAGAGGTTCTCCAGGTTGTCCCTGGGACCTTGAAGATCTCCAGCACCAGCATAAAACAGAACTGGACCTGCAGGTTCCCTGATGCCTGCCAGCACATGCGGGCCATGTGCCGTCTGGCAGTGCCTTCCTCCCCTCCCTGTGAGGCTGAGGAGGTGAAGGGAGAGGAGATGCTACATGGCCAGGAGGGAACATTTACCTGCCGCCATCTGCAGCCCTTCACTGCCTACAGTGTCACCATCTCCCTGCCCCCCAACACAACCCTTTTCACATGGTTTATCAGCACAGATGGAACAGGTATGTGCACACAAGTAGAGGAGAGAAGAGACAGTCCTGGGCTGTGTCACGGTTAAGGGAGGTGGAAAAATATCCCTTTGACAAGCAACTCATCCTGATCATCCACTCGCTGCGGTGGTGGTCTCGGGTTTGGGGCTGCTCAGAGCCTGTGGGGCTCAGGGGAAGGGACTGCACAGGGCCCTGGAGCACAGTACATCCCCACCTCACTCTCCCCATCCTCACTGGCTCCGAGTGTGACGCTGTCCTCCTGTGCTTCCAGTGCCGGACAAACCAGAGGAGCTGTGGCTGGATCCCACAACGGGGTCCCTCAAGTGGAAGGCGCTGCCCTCCTGCAAAGGAGAGATCACTGGATACCAGGTACCAGGGGCCACGGACTCCCCGTGGTCCCCCTCACCTTGCCAGGCACCACCCTGCCTGGAGCTCTGCCTGGAGCCTCACCTGCTGGCAGGCAGGCAAGGAAAGTGGGGAAGGGAGAGCCATGATGACCCACAGCTCCCAGCCAAGCCAGGTGAACGTCTGGCTGTGATGAGCATGAGCATTTCCTGTCTCACCCTCCACACCCCAGTGCTGTGGAGTTGCCCAGAGAGGTGGTGGGTACTCCCTCCCCTCTGGGCTTCCTCCCTGGCTCCGCTCAGCCTCGATTTTGGCAGGCTTTGCAGCTTGGTGTGTGGCACTTGGTGACGTGTCTGCTGGGGTGGCCTCCCAGGGCTTCCTGTGCCTCTTGCATGCTCATTTCTGGCTCCTGCCACAGAGGAGCCTGTGGTTGGAGTCGTCCTCTGAAAACCCCTCTTCTTCTGGGATAGCTGCACGGTTCCTTTGAGTTTTCCTCAGCACGTGGCTGGAAGCACCTCCTCCGCCTGGGGTCTGGGAGTCTGCTCACAGTGCAGCCTTGGTCTCTAGCAGTGAGCTAGACCCTGGCCCTAGTGAGACCCTTACCAGGGTGCCCTGTGCCCTCCCTGAGGACAGACCTCTCCGTGTGGAGACAGGAACCCAGACAAGATGGTTCCTTCTGCCCCTCTTAGCTCTTTCCTGCAGAAATCAACAAATGGGGTCCCTGACGGCATTGCTTGAAGGTCTGTTCCAGCTGGCTGCCTGCTCCCAGACACCTCTGTTTGTTAAAAGAACCCTTTTTTGGCTTTCAGTTAGTTCCTATTTGCATATTCCCAAGATGCCATTTCCATAAAGATCCTGACAGCAGCAAGGATGGCCCGGGGTCTCGGGAGAAGTTCAGATGATGCCCTGGAAAATGGGGAGCCTCCATCTGTCTCCCTGTGGCTACAAAGCCTTCAGAGTCCAACCTTGCACTGGAGGAAAGAGAAGTCCAGGGCTCCTCTTATGGGGGACGTCACCACAGTGCCCACAGGGTTGTAATATCATACCAGGGACCTGGCCTCGGCCTCATCACACGTATATGCACCTCCTCAAAGGAACAGCCTCCCTCTTGCCCTCAGCTCTTCACAGAGGCTTGGTCCTTTGCTCACAGAGGCAGCCGCTCTGACGTCTTGAGCGTTGACTCCAAATTCCTGCTCTCCTCCCCTTGTCTGTCTTGAGGTCCACGCATGGGGCCATGGCTTCTGCTAGTTCCTCTCCGGGAGCTTTCCACAGCTGGGGCAGGCACAGGAAAGGGGAGGTTTTCAGGGGTGCTCTGCTCTGTCTTGTTGTGCTGTGGGCACGTTCCAGAGGCAGGTGGGAGCTGCTGTTGTCCAGCTCTGTCTCCTGCCCGCAGCTGAACATCACGACGAGGAGCGCGCAGGACGGCGGCTTCCTGGAGCTGGAGCGGCTGCG